TATATATATATTTGTTTTTCTATGTAAAAATGCATCGTGACTTTTCCAACCACCCAATAGAAAAATACTCCTCCATTTCTTACCCTTACATCAAAGACATTTTTATGTTTAGGACAAAGCGAACAATGGAAGCATAGTTACCAGTTTCTCAGAGATTTTTTTTTTTTTTTTTTTGGAGAGGTTTTCGCTATAGGGCGCATGCGCTCCCCAGACAGACCGAGAGAGACATAGAGACAGAAAGCGAGAAATCACCCCCCCAGGGGGGATGGTCACGCTGCAATCCCTCCTCCTCCATTCTCCTCTCGGGATCTTAGGCACGCACACATATGTGCACGCCTATGCGCCCAGCGTGAGTTTTAAGCCACGAGACATAGCCGAGAACCGACAACCGTGGTCAACCGAGAACCGCGGTCAACTACGTGGGAGTCCAGAGACATAGCCATTCCGCTAACTGCTTGTTCCCTCTCAGACATGAGTTTTGAGATTGTTATACTGGAGAGTGAACGCTATTATAAGGATGCGAGTTAACTCTGAGATTTTTTTTCCCTCTGCTTTTGATGAAATGCATAATTTGTAAAACCATTTTTCTGTGACTTTTTCGGTAGGTTTGTAATAAAGGCAATTTAAACAGTAGAGTCCTGAATGTATCATCAACACCAACGCAGCCAGGTCAGGGACGTCGCCCCTCTGGGCCGACTGTGAGAGCCTGCGGGAACAGGCAGCACCGTTCTGCTGTAAAAGAACGGTCCTATGTTTCTGAGGACCAAGAAAAAACAAAGCCCGTGATGACTTGAGAGAAACCAAGGAGTATCATTTTAGAATTCAACTTACATTCACTCCATAGTAAATTCCTTTTAAAATGTGACTGATTATTTTTAAAGTCATATTAACATGAATTTAGATAATGAAGCCTCTCAAGTAAACTTTACATGGGAGGGAAAAGTCATGTGAGTTATTATTATTATTATTACTATTATTATTATTACTTTTAATTGCCAGAGGATATGTGTGCTAACCAGAGAGAAAGAGAAAAAGAGAAGGCACCCCCCAATGGAGTGTGCTCACACCGCAATCCCTTCTCCTCCATTTCTCCATCTTGAGATTTTTCCTTTTGAGATTTTTAGGCATACACACATACCCAGTGTGCTTCTTCAAGCCACCAGGACTGGTATTCAAACTGCTGTTGGCCATGTGGGATCCAGTTTTCCTTAACCACCAGGCTACAGGTCCGGCCCTTATGTGAGTTGTTTTCTTTTGGAGAGGTTTTTGCTATAGGGTGCGTGCACTCGCCAGAAAGACAGAGAGAGAGAGAGAGACAGAAAGTGAGAAATCACTCCCTCCAGGGAGCACGGCCACACCATAATCCCTTCTCCTCCATTCTCCTCTCGGGATCTTGGGCACACATGCATATGCACCCAGCATGAGTTTAAGCCACCGGGTCCGGGTCTCAAACCATGGTCAAGTACATAAGAGTCCAGCGACACAGCCACTATGCCAACTGCTGGTCCTGAGCTTCTGGGGACCTACATGAGATCTTTAGGAAGAAAATTTTCTGAAAATTTACAGTATTAAAGTTCACTGTAAAAATGGGCCTGGCACAAACAGCAAGGTGTGTCCTGTTATCCTGGGGGTGGGGGTGTGCACTAAAATCTCAGTGCTTTCTTAACAAGGTCCCAACTGGCCAAATGGGCTGCGAAGCACACTGGTGTTAGGAGGTGGCTGGCACAGCGGTCGCTCTGGGTCCAAATGGCATGCAGCAGTAACCAAACTTCCACAGGAAGTCCTGACAGAAAGCAAATGGCCTCTTCAAAGGTTCCGCAGCTCCATGTTCAAAAATAAAGTGACTGGGGACCAGCAGTTAGCGTAATGGCTATGTCGCTGGACTCCCACATAGTCAACCGCGGTTCGCGTCCCGGACCGGGTGGCTTGGAACTCACGCCGGGTGCGTGTGCGTGTGTGCCCAAGATCTCAAGAGGAGAACGGAGGAGAAGGGATTGCGGCATGGCCATCTCCTTGGGGGGGTGATTTCTCGCTTTCTGTCTGGCTGGCTGGCAAGCGCATGCGCCCTATGGTGAAAACTTCGAAAAAATAAATAAATAAATAAAAAATAAAGTGACTAAGTCTTACAATCATTTTATTCTAATTCAAAAGAAAGACAAGAGCCAGCCACAGTGGTGCAGTGGTAATGCAATGGTCTGCAACGCTGGAAAGGTCTACGGTTGGTGTCCTGGGGTCTTCGTGTATGGTTGGGTGTGTGTACATGCTTCTGGCTGGCTGAGGTTGGGGGGGCGGGTGGCGTGAAGACCCTGCTGCAGGTACCTCTCTCCCTCCTTTTTCTCCATCTCATGGAAAAAGATCATAAATTTTTTGTAAAGGTGGGGGAAACCACTGACTTTATTCATTTTCTTTATGCTTTAGGGTATAAAGGGAATGATTTTTACCAGCAGGTTAACTTCTTTCTTCCTTTGCCCTATTTCTATCACTGTTCTTTCTGACGCCCCCTCACCCACCACCTGGCACAGATCTGAAAGAAGCCCTACTCCTCTCCCAGTACAAACAGCAAGTCAACCCCTCAGGTAGTGTCGGGGGGGAGTCCACTCATCAAGCGTTGCTGAAGGACACAAAACATTTCTGTCAACATAATTGGGAAAAAATGGCATAGGATGAAATCCTACAAGGTAAGTTTTATCTTAACCAGCACATTTCAAAGCATTTTTTTTTATAGATTTACAACATGCAACAAAGGTCAAACTGGAGAATCTTGTTTTCTTCTTGCTACATTAAAATTTTGAAACATTTATAGAGAAATCAATCCCCCTGAAAAGTCAAATGCTGTACTGAATTGGCCCAATTATAAATTCTGAATGAAATTTAAAAATCATCAGGGGAAAAAAAACCCCACCAACTTGACCTTTTAAATCTAGTTAAATGCCATTGTCCATTGGTAAACAATTTTTTTAATGGGAAAGCCTTCAAAAAGTTGTTTCTAACATTTCTACAGCACATTTGAAACCCTAAGTCAGCCATGTTTGTCAACAAATTGTCGTTGCCGTTTGCCTTAGTGGAATGCTTCACTTCTTCGGTGTGTTCACTTGACAGGGGGCCCTTTCTTTTCTCGTATATACAATCTGAAATTGTAACGGTAGTGAACTGACCAATCGGAGGTATGTATACTTTGCATTACTAGTGAAAACAGTAAGCCAACTTCTTTAAGTTTTGCTTAAAAGTCATACAAAAACATGATAAAGAAGGAAAAACAGGGGGACAGACTATGGAGTAACACTGAAAGGCTGACCCGCATGGGAGAGTTCTGGGTCCCATGTCCAGACACCTCCTTGAACCCACGTATGCCTGGAATTCCTAGACTGGCTGAGACTAGGAGTAGATTTAGTGGTGATGACCTGTTGGGGGGGGGTGTGCTTGCTCTCTCCCCGACTCCCACTCACTCATAGAATAAATAAACTTAAAAAAAAAAAGAAACGAAAAAATAATGTGCCCAAATGGCATGGAGAGAGGGATAAATGCACTCAAGACAATGTTTTAGGTTAAACACAATAAACCAGGTCTCACAAAAGTTTTAATTTATTCCATTGAGAGCAGCTTAAAATAACCTATTATTTTTTAGCCTTTGCTTTATTGATTTCTTTGAATTATGAAATCAAATTTTATAACATAATTTCATGATTTTATAAAAGTATCAGTCTCAATGACCTTCCTTGACAGTGTTAAAACAGCCCAATCCTAGAAATCTGAACTAATCAGAAGACTTGGACAGATGTTTGTCCTAAAAATCCAAACGTAAGAAGGGTCAAACGTCAAGGAATAATGTAATACTCTGAAACCCTTAGAAAACAGCCACGCCTAACAGGACTTCTAAACCAAATGACTTCCCCTGTGACCACGCGGACACCAGGGGTAGCACAGTGACCAGGCATAGCAGTGGCTTCTGTCTGGTCAGAAACCGACTCCCAACCCCACCGCATGTTCTGACAAGACTGGCCTCACCAGGGTTCCAGACCAGATGCCACCACAAAAGACAACCTATTCTCCCAGGTAACTCATCCTGATGTCACAAAGGACTTCTAATAAGACGTGCTTCTCAACTGCGCCATTAGAAATGTATGTTAGCAAAGCGTACAAGTCTACTTGGAATGTCTGAGGCAAAAGGGTTCTCGGGATATTTGCCAATTCATATTGCTTTCTGAAAGAGAGAGGAATCTGATGTTCTCCTCTAGAGCAGAAATAGTATTTTTGCAAGAAGTGCAGTTTGGCTCAATTTTATGGCACATACGGGAAAGTTTAAGAATCTCTCTGAACACTTTGGCATAGCTAAGGCCCTGTGTATGTGACGTAAGACGCAGAGCCTAGACCTAGACCCTGGTGGAGTCACAACACATGTGACCCAAGAGTTCCACTGTCCCATCTAGGAGAGGTACGAGGCACTGTGCCTTCTGAATTGGACGTGCTGAACCATGTGAGCTTGCGACCAAGAGCATGATACCAGTCACGGCTCTCCTTAAGGAGGGCTGGGAAGACACTCGCTCTTTAAGAACAACAACTGCTTTTCTGTTTCCGGTGGTGTTTCATTGTTGTTTTAACAGTATGTGAATACAATACTTCTTTTAATTAAGGAGAATGCGCATAAATAGTACACTCCTCCTCCTACACTGGAAACAGCAGAAAATAGACATGTATGTTAATTTAAACCCCAGCTAAGAGTTCAGATGGTTAACAAACCCCCAAATTACTTTTCCAACGTAACTACTATGAAAGAATATAAATAGACTCTTTCAGTAAAGTATCTTCTAAATTCTCAAAATACAATTTCGTTAAGAAGTACTTACTTTCCCAACGACTACAGCACATAAATATAAAAAAAAAAGTATCTGGAAACCCTAAAAATAGCAAGGACAGGATACAAATAATTAAGCTATCAAGTTATTTATATTGTTAGTAATTAATTTAGAGACGAATAGTAAAGCCACTCCAGGAACAGGACAAATATGGGGAAGGAATTTTTTAAACTAGTATGGTATTCTGTGGTTTTGTGACATGGGGGGATTTGTGGGCCCTCATTGCTCGGCATTTATTTGGGGATAAATCGGCAGGGCGTGGAATACACGGGGGGGGGCGGGGGGGGACAAACTGCAGAGTGCAGGTGCCACTGAGATTAGGCAAAAGGCCTTTCCGCTGCGCTGAGGGCCCTGTCGCCACTGTCGCAGGACATCCATTAATGGCGGATGAATGACAACATTACGACCGTGACAGACGGAGCTCATCTTAACACTTTCATTTTTCGGCATTCTTTTTTTTTTTTTTCCTCCACAGAATTCATTTTAAATTATACGAAAATGCATGACTGAGCGACCCCTTTCCTCCTTCGTCACATGCTGACTGGTATGCTTCCCGGCATCCAGCAGAAGGACCCAGAATGACTGCTGGACGAGTGCTTACTGCCGAGAGGGACTCCCAAGTGTCTGTGCGCGTCAGACTGGAAAAGGTGCTGTGTGTTTCACTTGAGCACACCGGACTTGGAGATTTTCGGAAACTGCTCCTGTCCCTGCAGTCTAAAACCGCACTGTGTCTTGTTCAGAATCACTGCGCACATTTCCAGCCAGCGGCGGACGGAGGCCTTGCACGATCAGCGCACCCATGCCCTCGCAGAGTATGCGTCCATCTGACCGGGAGCTCCCTGGAGTGCCAGACAGGGCAGTCCTGTGTGGGCGCTGCTCAAGGTGAGGGACCACATCCAACCTTGTCGGAAGCCATCTCCAACGTTCATCCCCAGGACACCCAGAGTCAGGTCTGAAGTGCACAAAAACCCCACTGTCGCTCTCCTATTCGCAGCAGTACGGAGAAAAGACAGGTAAAATCAGCAGTGGCTGTTTATGGATAAAATATGGCAATGCTTAGGGTAGTCTATTACCTAACCCTGGAGGTTTTCAAATTCCAGCCCGGAAAGTCTAGGATATGTTTGATATCAGACATAAAAAGTGAATTGGTAAGTAGGAATCATTTCATGTTCTAAGTTCAGAGATACCAAAATAAGTATGTAGCAAAGAAGAAGAACTCCCATGTCTTCAGTAGTTTCAAAGTGCAGACAAACGCGCTCAGGCAGGAGTGAGACAGACTGAGCCTGAGAAGGGGCCCGACTCCTATTAGGAGCAGCTCACAGGGTGCCCTGGGTCTTCAGCCTCGGAAGAGCCTCCGCAGTTAGTAAGTCCACTGTGTAGTCCTCACCCTTCTCCCACGGGCTCTATTTGGAGGGCTGAGGCCCCTGGCATGGAGTCCTTGAGTGTTGGGACTCCCTGCTCGTGGGCCTTAGAGGCCATTGCTGTTTCTGTGACAGAGCGGTGGCTTTGAGAGCTCCACGATGCCTGATCGAGATTTGTTCAGGAACTTGGGTGCACGACGCAGTAACCGCTGGGCCTCCGTGAAGGTCTCGGTCAGCTCTTTCTTCCACTGCACAAACTCTGGATCACTCTAATGGAAACACAGAGGTTGACATTTGCCTGCTTTGCCCTCAGGTGTGGGTGCCGCTAGTAATGACCAGTGCCCTAAACCCCTGAGTGGACATACACCTATTTCCTGCCCCCCCCCGAGAGGTCTTACTAACCAGTGGTCATGCTGGTGTGTCCTCCAAAATCACTTGTAGAAAGAAGGGAAGGACTGCGTTCTTCAATGCCCTCCAAACGAGGGCTACAACCCCACTATGAGAATCCCTGCCTTTAGTGGTATAGGGATTACCTGTGATTTCTGAAACAAGTGACATCTACAAAATAATATATGGAGAGGAGTTTGGACACATTTAATAAGGCCATAACGAACCTATTAAAAATGTGTTTCTGTGGGCCAACTCCTAGCCTGGTGGTTAAGGGAGCTGAATCCCACATGGCCAACAGCATGGTTTCAGCACCAGACTCAGAAGCTTAAGGATCATGCCAGGTGCATGTGCATTCATGACCCAAATCCTGACAGGATAGAGAAATGGACAGCCTATGTATGGCATAACCACTCCCCATGCAGGGGTGCCTTCTCCTTCTCCCTGTCTTTCTCTCTCTGGTAAGTGCACATGTCCTCTGGCAATTTTATTATTATTTTTTTAATGTGCTTTTGTATCTACTACTTATTTCTCTAAGTAAGTTGTTTTAACGCACACTAACACACACACACACACACACACACACACACATCCCAGTACACCAGCAGAAAAGTGTTCTGGAATTAAATTCGGGCTGTTGTAATGCAACTTTGAGAAAAACAAAAGTGAGATTTTTCCTTTAGAGAAGTCACTGTGGCAGCTGATGTTTAAGACCTCAACCTCAGACATGCTGAAAGGTATGACCTAGATTCTAGTTATGGAACAAATAGAATTCTAGGCCCCATTAAATACCGGACAGAGTTTTCAGATTCAGTAATCAAATTATTTCACATACTTCTTCCTGCCATGTTGTAATTTTGCTTTTTTAGGAATAGCCATTAACCTGCTGAAAACCTTGCACCTGGGAGCTGTCTTGCTAATTTTGTTATAGATGAAGCCTAGAGTCCAAGATGCTATATCAGCAGGCCGCCATCTCTGTGGAATGTTTATGTAACTGTTTTAACTGTCACCTGAGGAAAAAAGTATAAACAAACACTCACCTCACATTGCAAGACAAATTGCTTCCCTCCTTTAATTCTGAACAAAATGCATTTTTTGTCTTTGATCTGAGTTTCTTCCACAGAGAGGATCTGCTCCATTGTCAGTAAATTTTGCTAGCCATAAAAATAAAAATCAAAAGTTAGTCCAAAATTGCTCACAATTTCTCAAGTGCAATTAGTAAGTAATAACACCCAGAGCTAGCTTAGAACAGATTAAAAAAAAAAAAAAAAAAAGCAAATGGCATTTTTCTTTCTTTGCCAATATTCTAGAAGTGAGGGGGAAACAGCAACAAAGGAACATATACAAAACTTCAAATTACAATACCTTGAAGAAAATCGCAAAGAAAGAAATGTTGCTATAAGGTGAAACTGCAAAGCTGTCCCCTCAACACAGAACTGATGTGCGAATGATTCTAAATCATGAATATAACTTTGTGCGTCATATGCTTGTCTAAATTCTATCAATGACGTCAGGAGGGAACAATAAAGAACTACTCACGATTTACACGAGCAAAAGGTGCGTAGTTCAGTTTTGAGTTTGTTTCCATTTTTGCCAGAGGCTGCGTGCACTCTACAGAGAGAGAGAGAGGGAAAGCGGAAAAGCACCCCGGGGGGAAAGGTCACAGGCAATCCCTTCTCTTCCGTCTCTCACTCCTTTTGGGATTTTGAGCACACATGCATAGGCGCTCAGCGTGTTTCTCAAGCTGCTTGACCTGGGACTTGACCCACACAGTTGGCATAGTTGGCCATGTGGGATCCAGCCACCTTACCCACCAAGTCAAGGGCTGGCCCATGTAGTCCAATGTTAATGTAGCAGCTCAGTACATGTTTGGTGATGACTGCCTATATAGGCTGACGGTATTCTGACAATAGCGAAATGACGTGATAAATACAAATGACATTCTTTAAGGATTGTCACTCTGCGTCTATAGCATTGTTGCTTCAGGTGAATGCTATAGTGTCTTGAGTTCCTTACCATTTTATGTTTTTTTGGATAAACACTCCAGAAATCCTAGATGAAAAACAACATCATCGTCAACTGTCCAGTTTCCTTTTTCCTGCTTTATATTTATGAACCACTTACACGTATTATGGAGTGCCTCAAAACAAACACTAAATGTTGAATCTTTGAAAACCAAGATAATTCATTGCATTCGATGTTAAACAAAGGCAGCTGTTCTGGTTTGGGCTTTGTATTTTTAGTTTTCAAATATCCTGAAAAGTGGAATGATTTCCTTTCTGTGTGCACAACAGAGACTTGCCAGTAGACAGTATAATAACTGCGTAGTGTGCCCACATCCACTTGTTACCCAGAAACAGCCCGGCCTTTGGAGAGCTACTGCGATAGGTACGAGCACCCGAGTTACAGTTCAGGGCCCCCAAGAGAGTCTTACTGACTGGAATGAGGATCATGAATGGACTCATTTTTATAAAACATGACTTCTACAGCACAGGTAAATGCAGAAAGATCTTGTTTATTTTTAAAGAAATGTGGCAATCATGCAATTATAATGATTCATAATTAAATGGCAACTTCGCCCACGAGAACTGGAAGACACAACCCAAAGTCACATAGACAAGACCAGAGCCTGCTCTCCTCTACACTTTTGACTCCTAGAGCACTGATGGGCAGTATCTCACGACAGCCGGCGCATCAACATGCTTTTAACATGTCATGCTCATGGTGACATGCCACTTAGTCCCCAAGGGAAGAAAGCATGCTGTCTCCTTTTCGTTTGGTTTTTGAAAAAGTCATGACTCATTTTTGCACAGAAAAAAATACATCGTGACTTTTCAAAGCATGCCGTCTCCCAAGGGTTGGCTCCTTCCATGTTGATAAGCCCACAGCTTTTTACACGGCAGGTGCCTAATAAACGCTGGCCGAAAGACATAGTGTGGGTCGCAGATTCCTTTTCGTTTGGTTTTTGAAAAAGTCATGACTCATTTTTGCACAGAAAAAAATACATCGTGACTTTTCTGACAACCCAACATCTTGTTCACAAACAACAGCTCTCAAAAGAACCTTAGGGGGCCACTACATCTTCCTGTCTATGGTAAGAAATCCATCTGCAAATTTCCAACAAGGTGGAGGCAAATAGAAGGACCATTTGGTGACCTTGATTCTGTACCAACTGCCAAGGATGACAGTCCATGAGACCTGACTGGGGATGCTGTATATAGAGACCTGGGGCACAGACAGACCTGAGTCTCAATTGCTCCTTGCCCACACGCATTTGGTGATCTTGATTCTGTACCAATTGCCAAAGATGACAGTCCATGAGACCTGATTGGGAATGCTGTATATAGAGACCTGAGTCTCAATTGCTCCTTGCCCACACCATCTAGCTGTGTTCCGGGTACACTGTCCTTCTCTAAGCTCTGATCTCCATCAATAACACCAGGGCCCTGATTTCTATTTATAAAACCAGAGCTGGACCCTCAGAGGTTACTAAACAGATCTTTTAACAGCACCTAGCTTCAGAAAAACGTGCAAAAATGATAGTGGCCATCATACCTTCTAGTTCTCTCATTTCACAGGTGAGGGTGGTGAGGCGGAGTCTGTGCAATGTGCTCAGAGTCCTGGAGATACTGAGCCATGGACTGGAAGTCCTCTGCCCTCATCTTCCCAGCCACCCTCCTGCCTTCTTTGAACCCATCTGATGGTGTGGCACTCTGGACCTCAGTAAGTTGCCATGGTCTATTTTCAGATATTACACTTGACTTGGAAGTTTAGAAGTGAAGATCTGAACAGAACAGTCTCGTGCATACAAGTTAAAACAGAATCTAGGGGGACATTTCACAGACCGTGTCGGCAACGTGACGTCACCACGTAAGGCCACACACCAGAAATGGTGCCTGCGAGGGTTGGCTCTTCTTGGGGAAAAAATAAATTAAGTTCCTATAAATACGACACATTACAGAAATCACCATCTCATATGTGAACTAAGAATTTAAATAGGGGTTCGGGGGCCAGCAGATGACATGGTTGGACTCTCACATTGCCAATCATGGTTCGAGTCCTGGACCCTGTGGCTTGACAGTCACACCAGGCGCATGGGTGTGGACACCCAAGATCTTGGGAGGAGAATGGAGAAAGGATTGTGGTGGGGCCCTCCCCGGGGCGGGGGGATGATTTCTCACTTTTCCTCTCACTGTTTCTGTCTCTCTCCCCTGGACAAATACATACCCTACAGCAAAAACCTCTTAAAAAAAATAGGGGGTTCTCCAGCTCCCTCTCTACTAACATATTCAGTGCTGGCTACTCAATATTCTGATAAGCTCATGACATTCATTCATTGCTCTGGGAGAGCAAATGTTACCCAGACTGTTTCTTCATTATATGTAATGAAATTTGGAAAATACAAAATATTTAAATACAAGCTATCCCCAAAGTTCTTCTGCCTTTAACTGAGATTGAGATTCTACAGGGGAAAAAATATATATACAAGAAAAAAAAACAAAAAGAAAACTTACCCTTTTATTTTCTAAATAATATTAGAGTAAGAATTTTCTTGTCTAGGTAAGCTAAGGTAACGCGAGGATCAAAAACATCTCATTACTCAGCTGAATGCTATGTTTATTCCAGAAATACGTGGTTTTATATAGACAGCCAACCCACAGTGATGTCGAGTCCTAACTACCTTTTTATTGTGAAATACTAGCTCTTTAAAAAAAAAAAAGAAAGAAAGAAAGAAAGAAAGAAAAAGGTTCATTTTAAAGCCTTGAATGAAGGCTTTGGTGATGGTGCTAAAGTCATTCATCCACTCATCCGTTCAACAGCTATTATAGTAAGTGAATGCCTAGGTGCCCAGTGTGTTCAGTGTGGAACAAGAGACAAAAATTCCTGCCCTCGGGGAGCTTACAGTCTAGTGAGAGATCCGGACCACAAACAAACAAAACTCATGTTGTATCACTTGGAGACAAGCAGGAGGAAAAAGGGCAAAGGAGGGGAGGGGCCAGGAAGGTTCCAGTGGTCAAGGGGTGGGGTTTGTGGAGCTCCCACTTGTCACCGAAAACATGCTTAAATTTCCAAAGTATATTTAAAATATAGTACTGTTTGTTTGTTTTCGGAGCTCTAAGCCTAGATGACATTTTCTGTAAGGTGACCTCTGGGATCTACACCGAGATCTATTTGAGATCTATTTATATGCACGTTATTCACTAACATATGACAATACGTTCGTTAAATTGCTAGACACTCTTGTCTAATTTCAGCTCTAATTAAAAAGATACTCTTCGACAAGGTCATTAAGACTTTTTTTTTTATTTCCCCTGGGTCCAATTTGTCAGGATTCCGGTGGCATTGTCGCCCTCTCTAAGTAAATTACCACTGATACAATTTTACATTTAAAATCTGCAAGACAAACAGTGTCTGGCGTGTTCTCCATACACCAGTTCCCTAAGGAGCAGCCTGCATATAAAAGCTGGGTCCCTGAAGAACTGAGGTGAGTACATGTAAACAAATACAGTATTCCCTGGGTGTATTCCGGCAAACTCCATGTAGGACGTGAGTCATCTCATGTCAGGGACACATCTCTAAGTTGATGATAAATGCTATAAGGAAATCGTCAGATAAGACAGATAAATCCTGTACCAAGATGCCTCCTCCAAAGTAACCTAGTAAGAGAATATAAGTATTTCTTGTCATTCTTATTGTATAAGGTTAATCCTATAGTATAAGGACTTTTGCTTAGAAGTAAAATGAAATGATACTCGATTGGGCTGCCCTGTAGACTAATTGTTAGGGAAGCTGGATTCCACATGATTGACCATGGTTTTGAATCCTGGCCCCGGCAACCCAAAGAACACGCTGAGTGCATACATGTATGTGCCCTAAATCCCAACAGGATGAAGACACAGAAGAGAAGGGACTACAATGTGACCGTGTCCTATTGGGGGGTGCTCTCTCTCTCTCCTTCTTCCTCTCTCTCTTTCAAGTGTGCATACATTCCCTCTGGCAAATTAAAAAACAAAAGAAATCATATTTACCATATTTGATTACAACCAACTTAAACATCCAAGATTCATTAAATCTTAGAAAACTCAAGAGTATAATATTTAGTGCATCAAGAATGACTCATCCATTTAATCCTCAATTTCTACGTTACCAGAGAGAGACAGAGACAGTGAGAAGGAAAGTAAGAAATCACCCCCCCACACACACACAGAGGGATGGTCATTCTACAATCCCTTCTTCTCCATTCTCTTCCCAGGGTCTTGGGCATACACGTACATACACCTGGTGTGATTCTCAAGCGACTGGATCCGGGACTCAAACTGCAGTCGGCAATGTGGGAGTTCAGCGAGGTAACCATTACGCCATCTGCTGCCCCCTTTCAACTATTTTCAATGAAAATACGGGTTTGGCAAGTCTTTAATGCTGTTGCTGATATCAACAGATTTGTACATTCCTCTCTCATGACAAGTGAAGGGCAAGTCAAGTTCCTCAGCAGGATTAACTGTGTATTCTGTGGAGCCTGGTTTAAAATAAAAATGCAGGCCCTGTGTTCAAAAGTGGTTAAGAATCTCAAGATGATGACAACGAAACACTGAACTGAGGGCACAGCCTATACAACCACCCAGGCCACATACCGGCGATGGGGCTGACCCTCCTCCTCACGCCACAGTACTCAACCTTTAAGGGAAAAACCTTCCAAGGTAAGATGACATGTTAGCGAAATACTGCGGCCTTGATACACTTTTATTTATATGCTGACTTGGAAATATTATGGGCCAGCAGGTGGCATAGTGGTTTAGGCAAGGACTCCCATATGGCTAACCATGGTTCGAGTCTCAGACCTAGCAACTTGCTTTCTCACTTTCCCTCTCTCTCTCTGTCTGGTGAGTGCATGTAGTAAACTAAAATAATAATAATAGTAGTAAATAAAGTTAAATAAATCTTTTAAAAAAACTGTACTTTGCTGAATAAGACTTCATTTCAAAGACCAATAATAGAAATAGATTCTTACAGAAATGATAATATTGAGTACTTTCTAGGCAAATTACACTAAAAAGATGGATGGCACTGTTTGGAGTTTGTTTGTCTCTACTGGAAAATACCTTGTGACGCAAGTATGTTTTCAGCTTTACAAGAAACTCTCAAAACTCATCGCATTCCAAATGTATTGGGGCACATTAGCTATTTTACCTTCTTCATGGCCAAGTTGTTTATTTTTAGCTCGCTTCCTGGCCTCGATTTTATCCGTGTCTGCATTTACTGCTTCATAAACTGTTTCCGCTACTTCCTGCTGCCAGCGTTCAGAGATCACCAAAGGGAAGTTCTTGTAGAGTTCTTGGTCACAATCAAGCAGCTTATTATTTTAAGAAATCAAGATATTTATGATTTAACATACTTACAAAGGCAACAGAGTCAACAGCCCCACGCTCATGGTGACTCTATCGTGACTACACAGAGGGAGGTAACTAAGTAACAGCACAGGAGAGTTCAGAGCCCGTTGGTTAGTTGTCGTAAGTCTCTCCTGATGAAACACAAGCAACCAGGATCCACACAAACAGCGATAATGGATCAGCCATCCCCGTCAGTCCCAGAGCAGAGAGACTCAGCTCAATCTTCTACACACACTTCAGGACGTTTTTGCCAATGAAAACTAACATATCCCAGGTGTCTTCAAAAAGTTTATGAAAATGCGTATTACGAACAAACTACGCATGGACTCTAAATGTTTTTTGGGGGGGCACCAAAACAAAATACTCTTAACTCCATTTTTCTCTACTATTTTTTGAAGTCCCCACATATGGAGTTTCACTTAAAATACTAAAAGATTTGGACAACAAAGTAAAATTTCAATTGTGGTGAGGATATTTTATTTATAAAAGTAGGAAAATAATTCTTTTAGAAACAATTAAAAAGGAGAAGCCAACAGGGCTTTCTAACCTATCCCTTAACTAACCTGAAAAGTCAGGAAAAAAAATAAATAACTGGGCTAAATTTACTACTAATTACATAAACCTTCCAAGTAATTAAAGTTTAATAGTATGATCATATTTTAAGTAGGAAGCTTAAAACACATGGAGAATTTAGGCGATACAGCCTTTAAGCATTGCTCTACTAAAAATTATACTTAATGATAGTATTTTTCTTTAGAACAATTACTCAAAATTCATCATTCTGTCCTCAAAATTAGGCTGCATTTTAAAATGAGCCAAAAAAAAAATAGTTGTAAACTATCTGAGACAAAATTCTATAACTCAATTTGACTGTCTGCTCAGAGGTCCACATCTCTTCAGAGATTTGATTTGCTTGCTCCTTTGCCTGAGAGATGAGCAGGGATAAACCTCACAATAGGCAAGTTATTTAAAAGGGTAAAGGAATAACAAAGAGGTTAAGGAGCTAGCCCATAGTTTTCAGCAACTCAGTGGAACACTGGCAGGACTTTGCAACCCCGTCCTGATTTGGGGTGTTCCCCATCCACTCTGACCCATATCCATCTACTCTTACCTATTAGGAAGACGTGCCCATTTGAGGTCACTCTGCTCTGGAGAGCTTTTTCCCCCTTCTCTGTTTTCCTAAGATGCCCAAACTCAACCCAGGGCCGAAACCCTTTGTCGTTCTGAACGCGATGAGCGGTGTGGCCTGTCTGAGAGCACCCTGGAATCAGGCACACTGGCACAGATGCTAAAGTAGGGCAAGAGGCAAAGCGTACTCTCTTCCAAGGCGGTTGTTTGAAACCATCAACTCCGCTTTATAGACAGACTGTTCTACCTCCTGTCACTTCAGAAACCCTTGATCTGTATGACTCAGCTCATGCTGTTAAAAATGAATTTAAAAAGAAGAGACTCTATGTTTATGTGAGGTGAGGTTTGTTTTTCCTTCTCTTTTAAAAGAACAACATATTCTTCAGTCTACTGTTTAAAGACAAAGAACAATTTCTTAAAAAGTAGTTCCTCATCTGAACTAGCCCATCATAGGGGCTGGGACCTGGGGTCCTCGGTCCGGTTGTGTCCCCACATCACACACCTTCTTGTTCTGAGTCTGTTTTGTCCTCAGCTCTTACAAAAGAACCAAAATCTTACTAATAGAAGCTACCAGGTTATTAAACACTGACTTTACGCCAGGAATTGTAAGCTAGTCATCTCATTTATCCTCAGAAAAATCTTGGTAGTGAAACCACCTACTTTACAAATGAGGAAATCAAGGTTCAAGAGATTTTAAAATAGCCCAACTTCACTAGGCTGATAAGTGTCAGATCTGAATCTAGTCTATCTGACTCCTGTGCCTACATTTAGGCTCACAGAATTTCAAAGTAGGAGAATCTCTTTTTAACATCAAAGATTTTTGTGGGCTCCTAAACAAAAGAGGAGTTTCATTTTTAGTACCCTTTGATGGACAGTACTACACTGATGACAAAATTCTATTTGACAGCAGCGATCTCTTTCAATGGCTTGTGAATGGAATGCTTGTCCCCCAAAGCCCTCGTATGGAGCACCTCTGCATGGGACAGGTACTGATTGTTCAGGCTACAGATGAGACCTGGAGTGCATGGGTCTAGGCATCCGTCTCCTGCTGCACCCCTAGACCACAGAGTGTGTCTCTGAGGGGCGCAGCATCTCTGGCCCTTGCTTGGCCTCCAGCTCCTGGGAAGCTTGTCCTGAAACCCACCTTCAGGACTCACCCCTCCTCCCTGGTGTCCTCATTTCTGACCAGCTGCCACTTCTTTCCCAGCTCCTCAACATACTCGGCCTCCACGCACTATTCTCCAGAACTACTCTCCTTCCCAGAAATCCTCACACGAACTTCCTCCAGCCACTGACCTACACTTTCTGCCCCTACGGCCAATCTCGTCCAATCTCTGCGTGTCTAGTTTCCACTCCTTGCATTTTACTTGTCTCTCCTTTACTTACACCTGACAGGTGTGTGTTTTAATAGTGTCACAACCGTCTGGTGGGAGGAGCTACTTGGTGGGGAAAGTGAAGGGGGCTTGCATACGAAGGGTATAAATGCAGGCACTGGGGTGGGAGGGAGGCTTAGGGTGGTGGGGAGAGCCTGAGATAAGCTGTCAGAGCGGGGGCTGATGAGGACTTGACATGTAGTGATACACTTTGACTTAGCATCTTAAAGAGGATGATTTTCTCTCATGACTCACCCTCTGTAATTATGTCTTGTCTCTACTTGGAAAGATAATGATATGAACAAAAGTTTGAAAAACGCAGAGGATTATATTTAAAAAAAAAAAACAGTGATTATTTCACCTTTGACTGACAAATGCAAAATGATTCATGCTGTTTGCTCTTTTCATCCTAACACAGGGAGATCTAAATACTTAGGGGAACTCAGAAACCTGGCTCTTTTCTAAATACTTAGAAGAATTAAGATGATCAAAGTCTGTTCGAAATCACATAGCTGTTTTGTTCTTGCTTCCTACACCTCCAGGTTTTATCTCAATTACAAAAATTTCCAAGTCAATAGAAATCTGACCCTTTTGCAGTTGACTGAAAATAAAAGAATTGGTCCAAAGAAAGGTTTCTAATTAATTTAGATCCTTCACTTATACATACTTCAAATATGTATTCATTTGTAAGTGACCTCCCACAAACAGCTCAAGACTAAAAGCAATCGCTAAGTCTAGTTAATTTATAATGGAAATTCTCCCCATCCAAAAAGGAAAAGAAAAAGAAAACCCGAAGAGAAAGAACCATGCCAGGTGTACCTTAATGCCCTTGGTGTCCTCTTCATCGAATGAGCCAATATCAAAGGCATCTGCTGCATTGACTTCTCCCCGGGGAGGGATCAAGGGTGGTGGGTACTGGAAGACCCAAGGAAGGAGGGTACAGTTATCAGGTGACCTTTTTAGTCCCATCCCAACCTCACATTCTACACGAACGCAGCGTGAGATGGCTCCCTCCAGGAAGCACAGTGCTCAGGCTCACACGAGTCACATCACAGAGTTCACACCCGAACCTCTACACAGAGCATCCCCAAAGGAGGATTCCACATTTTAGACAAACTTAATAAAAAAAAAAAAAAAAAAGAAGGCCAGCCTATGGTCCTGTGATTAAGGGACCCAGGTCTCTAAGGCATGGCTAACTATGGTTAGAATCCTAACCCTGGCAGCTTGAAATACACTCTGGGTGTGCACACACACGTGTGTGTGGGTCCAAAATCTTGACAGGATGAAAAAATTGAGAGGATCATGGCAGGATCACACCTCCAGGGGGGCGGGGGGGGGTGGTACTTTCTCCTTTTCTCTTTCTGTCTTTCTCAGGCAAACACACACAATCTCTGGCAATTAAAAAGAAAGAAAGAACAAGGGTTCATGTCCAAAACCCTAAACAACTTGTAAATAAAGTCTCAAGACTGCCAAGCCCCCAGCTAAACTTGAAGAAAGCACGTTCTCAGAGAAAGTCACATGGCGTTTGAATTCCTAGCCATAACTAGCAATGGGCCAAGACAGACTACCCTACGACATTTTTCCGCTCTTTACTACAGAAAACCATTATTCCTCCACAGCTTGAGTACATGCAAAAATAAGTCCAAAGTGGGGCCAGTAGGTAGCATGGCAGTTAAGGCGCTGGACTCCCACATGGCGGATCGTGTTTCGAGCCCAGGACCCGGAGGCTTGAAAATCACATCAGGCACATGTGCATGTGTGCCCAAAATCCTGGGAGGAGAATAGAAGACAAGGGATTGTGGCATAGCCATCCCCCAGGGGGTGATTTCTCACTTTCTCTCTCTCTCTGTCTCTGTCTCTGTCTCTCTCTCAAGTACACACACTCTACGGCAAAAACCTTTTAAAAAAAAAAGTCCACGCTGATAATTAACATTTAAAAAAATTTAACTTGGGGTCTTTTCTGTATCAATGCAAATATAAAGGGAATTATGCTGCTAAAATATCATGTTGGTTCTTAAATTATGTGCTACTAGGCTAGGCAAATACATGCAAGTCTATGACAAAAGATTATTGTGCATTTCCATATACGCAGGGCCTTCAAAATGTTTGTGGGAAATGTGTATTTAAAAAAAAAAAACTATGCATGAATTACAAACATTTTTTGTACCAAAATAACAATTCTTCTCTTCCATTCTCCTCCTGGGATTTTGGGCATGCACACACATGTGCCTGGCATGACTTTCAAACCACCAAGTCCAGGACTCAAAATGCAATTAGCCATGTGAGAGTCTAGTTCCTTAACCACCATGCCACCTGCTGGCCCCTCCACTTTTTAAAATTCCCCTCGTAGAAATATATGAAAATACAGTCACATATTGAGATAAGGATTGAAGATAAGCTAAAAGCAAATACAAATCTCAATTATATAGACACTTGAATCAACTGCATAATAGCTCCATTTCATCTTATATTAATTTCTGTGGAAGGTATTTTCAAAATGGTTATTATTAGGGAAATGAAGAGGGAATGCCAAACGGCAACTCTTGGGTGGCAGAGTCCCATGGATAGGAAAGCTGCTGTGGGGACCCTGGTGGGGTAGGGACAGAACGACAGCGGAAGGCAGCAGCTCCTGGAGAGACAGACACATAGAACATGAAGGCAGAGGCGGCGATCCCCACAGTGAAGTCCCCAAGGAGTACCTTTTGTAAATAGACATGCTGCCAGTCAACGCCTTTGAAAAAGCCGTGCTCTTTTACTTCCTGTGCACTGGAGAAGAAAGGAGGAGTCATAATTGTGGTGAGTGTACATGTGGAAATAAAGAAATATCTTGCAAAAACTGTCTCCTATTAAGAACACAAATAAGGGACCAGCAGTTAGCGTAATGGCTATGTCGCTGGACTCCCATATAGTCGACCGTGGTTCGCGTCCCAG